CCAAGGGCGGTGGGTCGACCTGAGACACACCTGAGGGAGCAGGACCCTGCGGGGGGAGGGGGTCTACCGGAGGAGGACCTGGGACTAGGAAGAGGGGCGGCAGGGAGAGCGGGGAAGACGTGTGCGGGTGGAGACGGTAGAAGCAGACCGACTCGTCAAAGTTGACGTACTGTGAAGACATGACCCGGCGCGAGACAGGGTGGTAAAACTGCCAGGGCGGGACGTCGGTGGGGAAGCCAAGGAAGACGCAGCGGAGAGTGCGAGGAGTGAGCTTGCTCGCTCTGGTATCGCGAACAAGGGAGAGAAACGCCGACGCATCGCCAACCTCTCCTGTCCAAAGGAGTGTGGGCGAGGTCTCTAGCAAAGAGACACGGGGCCAGAGGTTGAGCTGATGCGCGGCATATCGGACCGGAAACGTCCACAGAAAATGGGGAGCAGCCGCATGGACGATGGAGGTGCGAGCAACCTCCTTCACTAAGCCAATGCGACGCTCAGCAATCCCATTCTGCTGTGGAGACGCCGGAAGCGTGAACGTCTGTCGGATGCCCTCCGCACGGTAAAAGTCCCGAAGGAGGCCGGAGGAAAACTCACCGCCTCTATCAGAGTGCAGTCGCAGGACCTGGAGGTCCTGTTCAAACCGAACGCTCAGCTGGCGATGAACAGCGATGATCCATTCCATCAAAACACCTCGGACATCCGCCTTGCTCCGCAAAGGGAAGACCGTGGTGTAGCGCATGTAGTCGTCAACAACCAGCAGAAGATAGCGCTCCTGGTCCTGTCCACGGACGCGGGCTGGGCCCCACACGTCCATGTGGAGAGTTTGCAGAGGAGCAGTGGTCGGCGGAAACAAGGAGGAGTGAGGAGCGGCGCGCTGCCGCCCCTCGACGCAGGGAAGACACGGTGGTGCAAGCGAGCGCGGGAGCGGGGGCAGGGACATGGGGAGGCCAGAGACAAGGAGACGCGAGTGCATGCCGCGCAGGCGCGGCAGGGAGGGGTGACCAAGACGGTGGTGCCAGAGGAGAGTCTGGTGCGATAGTAGCCGGCATGAACAAGATGCAGCTAACTGACCCGACGCAGCCACCTGTGCAGACGCAGCCACCTGACCTGACGCAGCCACCTGTGCGGACTCAGTGGTCAGTGTGTACATGCTGGACCAATGGCTCCGGGTGAACGTGGCGAGGTGCTCGCCAGTGCGTGAGTCCAAACAGATCGCCACACGCTCACCTCCAGGAGTAAAGGTACTGACCAACTCGTCCTGGAGGACAGCGTTACTCACCAAGTTCTTTGAGAACGAGGGGATGTGGAGACCGAACAGAGAACCGGAGGGGACTGTCGGACAAGGGAGCACAGTGGAGGCTCGTGCAACAACTGAGCCCCTAGAGGGGTCAGCCAGAGAGACTGGGACAGGTGCTGTGAGCGGTGTGACTGTGGTGCAATCGCGAAAGAATCAGCGAGACGCGCCTGAGTCAAGTGTGAAGGTGTGCAAAGCCTCAGCAGAAGCAGTACCTGTGGCAGCAGACTCACAAGCACCTAGAGCAGCAGCCTCTACACCAGCAGCGCGCAGCACACACGAGTAACAGTCACCCTCAACATTAGCAGCACCAGCATACATAGCATAGATTCCAGCATTGATCTTGGCAAAGTCAAGAGCAAACACATCTACCCCCTTCCCTAGCAACGCTAACCAGTTGGGGGGAGCCAGCTCATCTCCGTACTCGGTGCGCCAGGCATCCTCGAGACAACAGAAGCAACGATACTCAGTGCGCCCAGTCTTCCCACAGGGCTCACCAGTCCTGAGCCCCGTGCGCCGGACGTACGGGCAACGAACATTGGCCCCAGTGGAGCCATGCTGAACCACCCACTATCGAAGCTCCTGAGGGGTGCGTGGCTGCTGCTGCTGCCCACCCCCAGTGCCTCCGCCGCCACGAGCTGCACCACCAGTCGCCGCCCCAGAGCCTCCGCCCCTGCCAGCTCCACCACGACCTCCACCCGAGCCCCCTCCGCCCACTCCACCGCCTCCACCACCCCAGCCACCTCCACTGCCGCCACCACCGCCTCCACTCCTGCCACCACCACCGCCTCCACCCCCACCACCACCACCGCCACCACCCCCGCCACCACACCCTCCAGTGCCCCCCCCACCACCCTTACCCCCTTTGCCCTTGCTGTTGCGGCACCTCCCACTAGGAGCAGACGCATCTCTTCAGTACGAAGGAAGTCAACAGCAGCAGCAGTAGCAACGGAGGGCGCGAGAAGGGAGGGAGAACACCCCTCAAAGAAGGGGGAGCGGGGAGTGCCACGAGGGGCAGCGACAGCGACGGAGCTTTTCTCTGCCTCGAGAAGATGCTTCTCCAGCAGGGCAAGGGTGATCTCGGTGGGGTCGAGAGCAAGGAAGTGATCCCTAACGGCGCGGAGGGAGTCAGGCGAGTAACGAGGTAGTAGAGTGTGATGTACATCGGAGGCGGGTTCGCAGCCAGAAAGTCCGGCTTGAGAGCGGCACGGTAGCGAGCGTCACTAGAGCAAAGGTGGGTGAAGAGGTCAGCAACAGTCTGGAACTCAGACAGCTCAGGGTGAAGGTACGGCAGCATGATACGGCCTAGGGCAGCAGACGAGGGGGAGGAGTAACGAGCAACTACATCGTCATACGGTTCCTTCGCCGTCTTAAGCTGGCCGAAATGGACTCGTTCCTCAGGCGGGAGGGCATTGCGGACAGAAAGGCGGGCGGCAGCATCGCGGGTGAGCCACTGAGTACGAAGAGCACGCGCAGCTGTATCCTCAGGGGCTAGGCAGGTACCGGACACATGTTCTAACAGTGAAACGTCCTCCCTAGCCTGGCTCTGCAGGTACAGCTGGAGGTCCTCGAGCCAGCAGTCAAACCTAATCAGGCGACCCTCCGCGTCAAAGGCAAGGACATTGAGAGTAGCCATCGTGAGTAGCAGCAGTAGCAGCAGCAGCAGCAGCAGCAGCAGCAGCAGCAGCAACAGTAGTAGCAGTAGTAGCAGTAGCAGCAGAAGCAGCAGCGCGGTAGCAAAACCAGATCGGCCAGGCAGCTAAGCAGCGCGGCGCGGTTCGGTAGGGCGGCGCGGCTCGGCAGGGCGGCGCGGCTCGGCAGAACGGCGCAGCTCGGGCGGTGCGGCGCGGCTCGGGCACGGCGGGGCAATGTGGCGCTGGCAGCAGCTGCAGCTTAGCAGCAGCCGTAGCGTGGGCAGGGCGCGTGCAGGCGGTACGCTTAGGGCCGCGCGCGGGCTGTGCGAGCAGAGCGCGAGCAGGGCGGGCCTTAAGGGCAGCGCGAGGGCAGCGCCAGCGGCGTGCGGGCAGGGCGCAGGCAGGGCACGCGGTGCGCGGGCAGCGCAGGCAGTGCGCGGGCAGCGCAGGCAGCGTGTGGGCAGGGCGCGCGTAGGCCTCAGGCAGCGCGCGTGCAGGCAGCGCGAGCAGGCCGCGAGCAGGGCAGTGTGCGGGTCGCGCGCTAGGCAGCTGTGCGGGCAGCGCGACGGGCAGGGCAGGCCGTGCAGGGCAGGGCAAGCAGGGCAGGGCAGTACGGGCAGTTCGGGCAGGGCAGTACGGGCAGATCGGGCAGGTCGGGCAGGTCGAAACTATCGGTGGGCCCTAACGGAGCGGTCCTACGGACGGACCTGTCTGAATACCATGTCAGAAGTAGGAACGTAAGAATGATTGACTAGGTAGGAAGCATCAGTCAAGCACTGCCTAACCCTAAAGTGTTGTACCCTTTAGGGTATGCCCCACTACAGCCTACAGAGAACAAATACATTTTGACACAGATGCTCCGTAACCGTACGACTTTGCGCGTCATTCCGCCTTTTCGTCTTCAGCCTCGGTTCTGCATACTGCTTCGGTTGCTACTGTTAGGAGTGCACAGTAACACTTCATTCTTTACCATTCGTAACACAGGGTTTGCCCTACATCTGCTCGACACTAATTGTACGGTATTCGCAGCTTCCGTAATCTTAGTCCCGTTATTGAATACTTATGCGCACCCTGATAGTACAACTCATAACATATATTATGGGGAAAGTATATCCCAGCTCCTGACTTTCAGATTTCTCTCATATCTAGCCCTAGGTTTACTCAAAAAGCACCACTTTCTATAATTTCTCTCACGCGAGGCCCAAAGTATGATCAAAACTGGTCCTGCGGGGCGAAGTTTTTGACACGTGTCCTCTTGTTACCCTCTGACGCACGTCCACTCTGAACTAACCGTTTGTCGGGGCAATTTTCGCGCCGGAATTTTTTTGACGAGGCAAAATACATAAAACCCCTAGGGGACCAGTACACATTTTCGGGAGGGATCAACCCTAAACATGGGACCTGTTAGGTGTTTAGGGTTGATCCCTCCCTCGAATGTGTCCCGGTTCCCTAGGGGTTTTATGTTTTTTGCCCCCGTCCAAAATTTCCAATGCGTCATGGTGTAACAAGAGGACACGTGTCGAAACATTCGCCCCGCAGGACCAGTTTTGAACATACTTTGGGCCTCGCGTGAGAGAAATTATAGAAAGTGGTACTTTTTGAGTAAACCTAGGGCTAAATATGAGAGAAATCTGAAAGTCAGGAGCTGGGATATACTTTCCCTATATTATGTTTGATAACATTTGCTGAGAGTGCTGATTTGGCATGACATTGACCTATAAACTCTTGAAGGGACACGTGGTACAGACATCTGAGAGGACGCCACGCGGCCCTTGTCCTGCCACACCCTTGCACTGTAACAACTCGCTTGGAAGGCGTATCCATTGAAGGGCGACTTCCAGGTTCACAACCTCATTTCTCCAGTTCGTGCCGATATATTATCCGAACATGGCTGTCAATCTGTGCTTGAAATTGCAAGGGCTGAGATCTAGGGTACAAGTATTTCAAAACGTTTGAGACGGAAACAGCACCTCAAATAGCCATTCCACCCCCGCACCCAATTTCGCACCTTGAACAAGTAGGCCACACCGCCATCACAGTTTTGCATAGGGCTATTCAGATCAGACAACCGAGTCATGGCCGCAGTCCCTGCATTCCGCGTCGCCGCGTCCTTGCGGCCACCATCTACAGCTGCCGCGCCGTCTACTTTATCGTCCGCCAAGTCCGCGTCGTTCGGCTGCGCCTCGTCGCTCTGCCCATGCACTCCCCTAGGAGCTTCCCGCGCCGCCAAGGGAAGGCATGCCATCGTGACTCCTCGTGCTGACCTGGATAGTGAAACGGTGAGCATCCTTTGGTTCCTTGCTTACTTGACGAATGTCGAACTGTGCGCGCGTCAGTAGTTGTTCCCCACCACGTGTATTAAAGCTCTGCGTGAACATGCGAGCTCACTCGTCTTGCTGTACCATCAAGCTAGCAATTTCAAGCGCATAAAATCTCCGCCGTTTTTCGCATTATTCCAATTGGTGGACCGCATGAAGAAGAAGAAGAAAACATTTACGAGGGAATCAACCCTTGGAAGGGTGGACTGATTTGCATGATCTTATCTTATCTCATCGCATTATTCCAATTTCCCTATTGTCCGTGTTGTGTGCGGCGGCAGCTCGTGGGGATCGGCGTGGGACTCGCGGGTATCGCGGTGGGCATCGGCATTCCCGTCTTCTACGAGGTTGCCGTCAAGGGATCGGTGAGTCGTCACGGCCTCCTCGATTTCCTTCTCGTCTTATCCCAGTTCTGACTGACGTTGCTTGTTCGACAATCCATTCGCGTACCATCTCTACCGCGCTGTGCTCCTTGCGATTCAAGCTCCTACTTGCGCCCGTTTGGCCCCATGCACTTAGCCCTCATGGCCTCATGCGCTCACGCTCTCGTGCGACCATGCGCCCGCATTGCTCGTTGCATTCCCTGCCGTTCGCTCTTCTGCAGGAGAAGCGGGAGAACGATCAGCCGTGTTTCCCCTGCAAAGGCACCGGCGCTCGTAAGTTCCTCTTCGCTCCACCACCCCTCTCAATCGCGAATGCGAAACGAACAGTACCATGTCTCTGCGCCCAGCGTACAGGAGACTTTGTTTCTTTTCTTTGATAATTCTCAGAGTCAAACCGAACACTACCTATGTCAGAGATATTGTCTCCAAGCTCAGCGCACAAGGGAAAGCTTAACTAAGGCGACGTCTTTGTCGCTGCTCTGTGCTAGTCAAGCGGGACAAGCAAACTTCCAACTTTGTTTTGCATTGCAATGCCGTAACGCGCCTCTCAAGTGTAGTGCCAGCGAGGGTTGTAATGTTCTATATAGCCTGCTGCCTGTATGGCCTGATACACATGCGCCTGGCCTTCCTCCCTGCCACCCTCCCCACCATGCATGCATTCACGTGCCCTGCAGTGCATGCCACTGACATGCATGGGTTTGCCTGCGCAACATGGCCACATCGCACTCCCTAACATACATGGCATTACGCGTCTCCCCTCTCTGTCCGCACCCTCTCCCATTCTCCCATCCTCTCCCTTTCTCCTTGTCTATTTTTTTCTCTTCACACCTATGCCCTCCGCGCCCCCATCCTGCCCCCATGGGCACATCACATAACAGAGTCGTGCCGGTTCTGCCAGGGCACGGGGGTGGTGGTGGTGGAGGTGGGCGGGGGCGAGAGGGAGGAGTCGGAGTGCATCAACTGCACCGGCAAGGGCGCCATCACCTGCACCACCTGCCAGGGCGCCGGCGTGCAGCCCAGATACCTCGACCGCAGGTGAGGGGGGAAAGGGGGAGGGGAGTGTTTGAAGTGCAGGTGAGGGGCATGGGTGTGCACCCCAGATACCTCGACTGCAGGTGAAGGGGAACGAGGGGGTATGAGCACGTGCAGTCCAGATACCTGGACTGCAGGTGATGGGGTGAGTGGGGAGAATGGGATATATGGACTGCCGGTGAGGAGGAATATGGGAGAGGGGAGAGATGAGACTGAAGGTGAAGGACAGGGGTATTCAGCTTAAGCACCTGGACCGTAGGTAAGGGAGGACGTAATGAAGCCTGAGAGGGAGTGGTAGGCCTGGGTTCACCAACACAATCATAGCATATGGGCATGGAATGTGTACATGCACAACCAGCCAATCGCTTCTGGTATGCTAAATCAAGCGCATGGCAGTTGGGCGCATGGTATGCTAGATAAAAGTCAGATTTCCCCTATCTTCCTGTGGTTTTTGTCCTTTTTGGTTCAATACAGGGAGTTCAAGGATGACGACTAAGCCCAAGCTTTTGCTGTTGAGGAGACCCAGCTTTTGCTTTGCTGTATGTTTACGATGTATTTCTTTGGGATTATCCAGAAATGTGAGATACCAATTTTGAGTATAGTTGGCTTCTCAACATGTTTAGTGGAGCTCTGTAGAAAGGGTACAACTTCTCGAGTTGCCACGAATCAGTAAAAAATTGCGACCCGCGATGTTCGCTATTGCGAACGCATCGTCACAAATCGCACAGCTATGTTCGCTGACGTTCCAGTGAAGCGACACCAATTCGAACTATCACCTTGGGAACTCCAGTGTATGGCACTAATTCCTCAAGCAAATCATTGTGAGCGTGAATTTGAGTTGAACTTTATGGCACTTCTACGGTGATGGATCGGGCTGAATCTATTGCCGTTGCTGGGCCAGCGACAAACCAGTCTCGTCTGACAGAGACACCATGAAAACCGTATTTTTATCGCTAACGCAGTCTTCACTATTTGGAGCTTCGTGTATAGCCTGCAGGCGCAGGGCTTGCTGGTTTCTCCTCCTGTAGGCGATCATTCGCGCTTAGGATAGTAATCCGGCCTCATCACACCAGTAGCTTATTTTGCTGTCTCTAGCTCGTCAAACAATTCCACAATCTGAAGAATGAGAGTTTCGTAGTCTTATAAGCTTCTGATACTGACTTGAATAACACCTTCATACCAGCGATGTACCAAGCATAAGCATATCTTCCACAGCCTGTTTAAGTCGGGTATCCCGATCTTGTCCTCATGGCGGTTATGACTGAGGATGAAGCGTCCGACCTGTTCGGAACCGTTAGTCTAGAAGGACGAGGAGATGGAGAAACAGAATCAGGGTTGTTCTCGAGCCTACCATCCAGAATGGTAGCTCTGGCTTGCACGTGTGTGGCTATACTGATCTCATTTCGCCACATGATGATGCATCTGCGGTACTACACAGAGCCTACTCATCAAAGATACATTATTAGAATAATCTTCATGGTTCCTGTAAGACCTTTCTCTGACCAGCTTGCAGGAGGTTGAATGTTGAGGGTTTTCAACAATTGGACAAGATCTGAAACGCATGTTGCTTACAGGTGTATGCTGCCATGTCGTACGGTGCTCTGGTGGCCAGTGACTATGCCATGTACTTCAAGACTGTCCGTGACGTGTAAGAAACGGATCTCAGTTCCTACTTTGAATCAAGAGCGATTTCGTTCTGCAGCAGGCGACAGCATCATGCTTTCCACCTTGCAACTGGGAACTTCCGCACTCCCACCCCTCTCATAATTGTTTTTTCCCTTTCGATTGGGCTCTAAAGTCAATAGTTAACCACCAATAATCACGATAACATATCTTCAATCGTCATGTACAGGTATGAAGCGTGGGTCATCTACAACTTCTTGTCTCTCTGCCTGGCGTGGGTTGGAGGGCCAGGCGCAGTGGCCATCAGCCTCACAGGACGCGTTCTCAAGCCCTCAACGCTGCTCCTCACGTGCTGGCTTCCACCCATACCGCTGGATGGGTGAGCATGATATGAAGAAGCACAGAAGATAGGAACGGGGACACTGAAACGTCCCACTCTGAAGGCCTTGAGTACACATGGCCAAATTCTCCAACTCTGACCTGCAATCCTCTTGAATGTTCACCTGTTCAAGCAAGTACCGCATGAGCAGCACGTGCCTTCCTTTGAACTGTGCCATTTCGTTGGTTATGGAAGTCGTCAAGCTAATAGCAACCCGTGGTTCCATCGATTTTTCCCACTTCCTCCATATACCATCCCCTCCCCCTTCCTCCCCTCCTCTCGCTCCTGCATGCACCAGGCACTTCATCCGCCACTGCAAGCGCGGCTGCCTGCAGTTTGTCTTCATCAAGCCGCTCCTCGCCGCCCTCTGCCTCGCCCTCTACAGCACTGACCTGTACGAGGAGGGCGTGTTCGCTCTCACCAACGGGTACCCGTACGTGACGTGTGTGTACATGGTGTCCTACTCCCTGGCCGTGTACGCGCTGCTCTTCTTCTACTTTGGCTGCCACGACCTGCTGCGCTCCTTCAACCCCATCCCCAAGTTCATCATGATCAAGCTCGTCGTCGTCCTCACCTACTGGCAGGTAACCCCAACTGCAGCAACCTCTGTCACACTGGGCAGGTGAAGTGAATCTGTCTAGCTGATTGGCAGGGAAAAAATTAACCAGTCCGGAACTTCATTCATGCCTCACCTCACTTGACATCTGCAGCTCTTCCATGTTGTTAAGCCCACCACACCATCGTCTTCACTTCTCCTGAAGCTCTCTCCTGTGCTTATTCTCTCTGTGCTGCTCATGCCTCTGCTGTCCTCCCATACTCCCCCCCTCCCCACCCCACCTCCCACCTCTCCACTCTCCCCTTCCCCCCAGGCCATTGTGGTGTATGAAGCGGTCCATCTGGGTTTGGTGCGCTCTTCCAGCGATGCAGCAGACCTGCAGAGTCTGTTACTGTGCTGTGAGATGGCGCTTTCTTTCTCCTCTCATCTCCCACCACACCCCTTCCCCCCCCACCAGAGCATAGTGGTGTTTGTAGCGGGCCATCTGGGTCTGGTGCGCTCCGAAGACGATGCAGCAGACCTGCAGTCTCTCCTGCTGTGCTGTGAGATGGCCCTCGCTGCAGGGGGCTTTGCATGGGCCTTCCCTGTCACACCCTTTGCTGCTGCCAGTCTGGGGGGTGGTGGGGGGGGGATAGTGGAGGAGGTGGGCGGGTTCTTTCAGAGGCTCAGGCACGCGGCGGCTGTGGGGGATGTGGTGGACGACACTGTTCACCAGGTGAGGCTCGTTGCTCATCCCCACCACCTCCGTGCGCAACCTTCTTGGCACCATTGCCAGGTCTTGCCACTGCTGCTTGCCGCCATAAATGCGCCTCCTCTCCTCTCCCTGCCCAACCCCCTCCTTGTCCCCATCGTACCGTATTTGAATTGGAATATTTTACCTCAACCCACCCACGCCCACCTGTTCTCCCCGACCTACCATGACTACGTGCCCTACAGCGATAAAAGACCATATATTAAAGGGTCTCTTCACTCCCGTCCCCTTCCGCCCCCCCAGTTCTCCCCGACCTACCATGACTATGTGCTCTACAGCGATGGCTCCACACAGGCCAAGCACTTCCGCACTCGCACGTTCGTGCCCATGGGTATGTGACTGTATGGGTATGTGATGGCATGGGTATGTGATGGCATGGGTATGTGATGGCATGGGTATGTGATGGCATGGGTATGTGATGGCATGGGTATTTGATGGCATGGGTATGTGATGGCATGGGTATGTGATGGCATGGGTACATGATGGCATGGGTATGTGAACACAGGGGTTTTGATGGATATGAAAAAGGGTATGTGATGGATCGTGATGGTATGGCCGTGTGATGGAATGGGTATGTGACGGTGAGACATGGTAGGCATGGGAATATGATATGGTATGTTCGTGATCTGGTTCTGGGATGTCATGTGATGGCATAGCGTCATAGATATGAGGCCAATTTTGATGTACACATTCTCCATGTCATGTGCCCATCCTTAGTTGAGTGATCTATGCCATGGACATGGTATGGCCAAGTTGATGCATGCCTCAGAGCCCTTACGTTCCACACCTCCCAATCAAACCCACCACCCCCCCCTCTCCTTTCCCCCTCACCACACCCCTCCTTCCCTTCCCTCCCCTCTGCACCCTATTCTCTTTTAGCCTCCTCGCCTTACCCTTATATGGGGGCTCACCAGTACACTTTAGTGCACCACTCAACCTCACCTCCCTTTCCCCCTCCCTTCTCCCCACTTGGCCCATCCCGCCCTCACAGGCAGGGAGATGGAGGCATACCGCAAGGACGGCAAAATCACCTCCATCCAATCGCCCGACTACATCCTCGCTCCCCCTCCTCCGCTCCACCCTTTCACCTGCAAGCCCTGCGTCACCACCACTGCTACCACCACCAGCACCACCATCACCATTACCAGCAGCACAGCTGGCATTGCAGGTGACACCAACACGTGCATGCAGGCAGCTGACTCGTTAATGACTGCTTCACTAGACCCGTTTAGAGAAGTCACCAACAGTGCTGGATCCAGTGGCACAACCACTGAAGCAGCGACAGTAACAGTAACAGAAACAGCCCCTGGGAACAGCATGGTTACTCAGTTACCACCTGGCACATCACTCCTGGACTTCCTGTCTGGGAGTGGGACCGATGGCAGGGAGAGACGCCAGGAAGAACAGCCCGGCTTGATTTACAGGGCCAGCATCCCCTGTGGCAGTGACCCGAGCACTACCCTCTGCAGTCCTCCCAGTGACAACTCTGGAAGCACACAGACCAACGGCGGGAGCAGCTACTGCAGCAGCTATGCGGGTGTTGCTTGTGGGGGGGGGTTGTGTGGCGAGAGCAGCAGGTGCGGTAGGGAGGGCGGGAGGAGAGCAGGGTTGTTTGAAAGGCTCGCTGACGAGAACGATTACGGCAATGCTGGTGACGGAGGTGGCGGTGGCAGTGGCAGCGGTGGTGGTGGGGGTGTGAGTGGTGTGAGCAGGAGAGCCAGCAGGAGTGGGAAGAACGAGACGGAGAGGAGGGAGAGTAGGAGTGGGAGTGTGCACAGGCATTCGAGTGCAAGCAGCAGAAGCAGCGAGGGAGCGAGTGAGAGAGCATCCCTGTACAGTCACCACCGTCACTCAACCCAAGGCGGCGGGAGCGGAAGCAAGGGGAGGAGGGTGGAGGCGGGCAGCGAGGGAGGAGAGGCGAGGGAAAAGGAGAAGGATAAGGGGAAGGAGAAGGGGAGGAGGACGGGGTTGTGGAGTGCACGTGGGCTGGTGAAGGTGCTAACACGGGGATCCATGGATTTGGGGCTAGTGGTGGATGAGGAGGACCTTATGGAGGAGGGCGATGCGAGGCGAGAGCTGGAAGGAGTGGTGCAGCGGTGAAGGGGGATAATGTGTGGTGGTTCGTTGACGGTGAAGGTGCTAACAAAGGGGTTTATGAACCTGGGGAGGCTGGTGGTGGATGAGGAGGACCTTATGGAGGAGGGCGATGTGAGGCGGGATCTGGAAGGAGTGGTGCAGCGGTGAAGGGGAGGGCGATTGGAATGGGGTGATTGGAGGAGAGGATGGGAGGAGGTTTGTGGACGGGGCGAGCGATGTGAAGTGTTGAGGCGAAGCACGATAGGCTAAGTTTGGTGCCAGGTGGCGCAGTTCAAGTCCCACATGTGGGCTGTGCGTGCAGTGAAGATGCAGGGGTGTCAAAATTGGCAGAGGTGGATGCAGCGCATGGCTTGCTTCGTAGTGCCTGTCGTAACCTAATGAAGATACTTATGCTTAATCGAATGTATTGCAGCTATAAAAAGGATGCACTGTAAGAAATATAAAGAACAAACAGCCGGACACAATGGAAGGTAGGAGTACAACCTACAAGAGCGGGCGGCGACACAAAAAGAGGACCTCACTTGAGAGCATGCCAATCCCCACCTCACATGACTGCCAGTGCTGCGGCCTGCCAGTGCTGCCGGCCGTCACTGTTGCTGACTGGCTGCCCTAGCTGCCTTGAGCTGCAGTGCACGTTGCTTCCACAACGGCACTTGTGGACGAGGTGCAGCCTGCTCATAACGAGGATAAAGAGAGACAGAAGAAGAACTGAACGCAGTTATGACCTGTGTTGCACACACCTGCACGCACACTGCACTCTGTACTGCGTGTGTTCCCCACATGCCACTCTTTCAAAAGCGTTCAACACACCCGCACAGCCCTGCACACACATGCACACACATGGGCACACATGGGCACACATGGGCACACTTGGGCACACTTGGGCACACTTGGGCACACTTGGGCACACGCGGGCACACGCGGGCACACATGGGCACACGCGGGCACACTTCTGTACTGCCTGCGTTCCCCACATGCCTCTCTAACAGCCCTCAACACACCTGCTGCTGCCCATTGCATGCCGAAGCCGCCCCGCCCGTCATCTCTCCTGCTCCTGCCACCTCATCAGCCAACCCCCCCTCCACCAATGGCGACACGCCAGCTGGCACACCAGCAACCTCATCCTGCACTGCTTGCGCGTGTGGCTGAAGTGTGTCAGCAGCAGCATTGAGTGTGCTTTCACCAGCAGGGCGTGTGTCGACCACAAGCCCCACGATGACGGGCACACTCTCCTCGTCATCCTCCTCCTCCACTCCCAATGCTGCTGCCACTGCTGCTGTGAACGCATCAGGAGCAGCAGTGCCAGCAGCACCGATGCTGCTGCCGCCCTTCCTTCCAGGCAGGGAAAATTTGGCTTCCACTGCTGCAGCAGACCCACCACCCAAACTTGCTGCTCTTGCTTGCTTCTCTGACTGCTCCCCACACCGCCCTTCCTGCTCCTTCTGCCTCCTCTCATCTCTACCTCGACCTCTTTCCCTCCCCTCCCTCCCCTCCCTACCCTCTCTCCCTTCCCTCCTGTCTCGTGTCCCCTCTCGTGACCGCTCCTGCCCATTTCCTCTTTCTTCCCCACGCCTGTCATCCCTCCTCCCATCCCTCCTCTCCTCCCTCCTCTCATCCCTCCTCTCCTCCCTCCTCTCATCCCTCCTCTCATCCCTCTCTGTGTCCCGCCTTCCCTCCCTTCGGTTCTCGCTCCTCCTCTCCTCCCCCTTCTCCCCCGCTCTCTCCTCCCGCCCCTGGTCACCTGGGCGGCGGGCCTTGTCAGCATGCCCCCCGCCTTTCCTGCTGAGTTCTGACGCCTTGCTGGACTGTCCACGTGGCAGCTTCTCACTGGCTGCAGCGGGTGGTGCTCCAAAGATTGCATTTTCGTGTGCTTCCTGCGTGGTAGCGCCGCGATTCTATACAGTCAAATATCACGCAGGCACCAACAAACATGAATCAGAAGCACATTGCAAATTAGAGGAGTAGGAAGTCGGCAAAGAATGAACCAATCTCCTGCGGAACAACGAACTATGACACGCCATGTATCATGACACGCCATGTATCATGACACGCCATGTATCATGACACGCCATGTATCATGACACGCCATGTATCATGACACGCCATGTATCATGACACGCCATGTATCATGACACGCCATGTATCATGACACGCCATGTATCATGACACGCCATGTATCATGACACGCCATGTATCATGACACGCCATGTATCATGACACGCCCAGTGGCCCAGTGGCCCAGTGGCCCAGTGGCCCAGGTGACGGCATTGGTGCGGACGAAAGGTGTATCCTGTGCCTACAACCACTCGGGCTGTAATATTTGGAAAAAGCAGCTATCATGCAGTGAGGAGCTACCATGCAGTGAGGAGGAGGAGAGCACACGCACGTGAGGTGATGTCCCAGGCAGCGGTCCTCACTCGCGGGGAGGGGCAGCTAGGACGTACTGAGAAGGAGGAGAAGACGAAGGAGGATTTGATTCGATCCAGATGAGCAAGGTCGTCTGCACCTCCCAGCGCATCTGCACGTGATGGTGAGAGGGAGGGGGCATGATGGTGGGAGGAGGGGCCGTGATGGTGGGAGGAGGGGGCGTGATGGTGGGAGGAGGGGCCGTGATGGTGGGAGGAGGGGGCGTGATGGTGGGAGGAGGGGGCGTGATGGTGGGAGGAGGGGGCGTGATGGTGGGAGGAGGGGGCGTGATGGTGGGAGGAGGGGGCGTGATGGTGGGAGGAGGGGGCGTGATGGTGGGAGGAGGGGGCGTGATGGTGGGAGGAGGGGGCGTGATGGTGGGAGGAGGGGGCGTGATGGAAAAAGGGAGGGGGCGTGATGGTGAAAGGCAGAGCACAGGTTGATGAGAGTTATTACGAGAGGCTAGAACGATGATTGCAAAGACGAAGCGGCGTTGCATGGCAATGCAATATGCACCGCAACCGTGAACACACACATGTAAAGGCGCTGTTGTAAGCAGATAAAGGCACGAAAGTGCGGCGGGTACAAAATCGCGAATACAATTTTGGATAATAAAATTACTGCTCCGAACTGCACGTACAGGCACCGTGCTTTTAAGGCACCTTTAAAGGAGATGCCATGACACCATACTAAGGCATCATATCACCGCACCCCACAGTTCCGCACTGCACCAACTGACACCCAAAACCCACCAGCACCCCTGGCATGACAACATCTAGGTTTGCTCCTCAGAAGTTTCCCCAAACGGTAAACACACCACCACTCACCAGCACTGCCCATCCCAGCCGTCGGATCTGCATCCTCCACGTCAGCATCTGCATCCCTCTCCTCCTCCAGCGGGGCGGCAGAATCAAATCCAAACTGCTCCCACTCGCCACCCAGCCCCGTGCCTTTGTCTGCTGCTGCTTCCTTGACGGCTGTTGGTAAGGAGGAAAATACAATGAGAGAGTTTAGAGGCAGATGCGATTTGATTAAGTCGACTTTAGAAACACCTCGTTCGCGGCTGCTGGTGGGGAGAGGATAAAAATGAGAATGTAAAAAGGCATACGGGAGAAGGACACGAGAAGGGAGGGAACGTGAGGGAGGAAGAAGGGGGGATTTTGTTTTTTTTTATTCAGGGAGGGAGGCGAAATATATGGTTCAAATTTGCTGAAACGAGACATGCCCTCCTCACTAATCCACACCTGCGCGTTGGAACTGCTGTGCCATTCTCTCCTGCCTTGTTCACTGCCCTCCCCACTGCCTTGTTCACTGCCCTCCCCTGCCTGACGGGATGGGAGCGGACGGGATGGGAGCGGACGGGATGGGAGCGGACGGGATGGGAGCGGACGGGATGGGAGCGGACGGGATGGGAGCGGACGGGATGGGAGCGGACGGGATGGGAGCGGACGGGATGGGAGCGGACGGGATGGGAGCGGACGGGATGGGAGCGGACGGGATGGGAGCGGACGGGATGGGAGCGGACGGGATGGGAGCGGACGGGATGGGAGCGGACGGGATGGGAGCGGACGGGATGGGAGCGGACGGGATGGGAGCGGACGGGATGGGAGCGGACGGGATGGGAGCGGACGGGATGGGAGCGGACGGGATGGGAGCGGACGGGATGGGAGCGGACGGGATGGGACGGACGGGATGGGAGCGGACGGGATGGGAGCGGACGGGATGGGAGCGGACGGGATGGGAGCGGACGGGATGGGAGCGGACGGGATGGGAGCGGACGGGATGGGAGCGGACGGGATGGGAGCGGACGGGATGGGAGCGGACGGGATGGGAGCGGACGGGATGGGAGCGGACGGGATGGGAGCGGACGGGATGGGAGCGGACGGGATGGGAGCGGACGGGATGGGAGCGGACGGGATGGGAGCGGACGGGATGGGAGCGGACGGGATGGGAGCGGACGGGATGGGAGCGGACGGGATGGGAGCGGACGGGATGGGAGCGGACGGGATGGGAGCGGACGGGATGGGAGCGGACGGGATGGGAGCGGACGGGATGGGAGCGGACGGGATGGGAGCGGACGGGATGGGAGCGGACGGGATTGGAGCGGACGGGATGGGAGCGGACGGGATGGGAGCGGACGGGATGGGAGCGGACGGGATGGGAGCGGACGGGATGGGAGCGGACTGGATGGGAGCGGACTGGATGGGAGCGGACGGGATGGGAGCGGACGGGATGGGAGCGGACGGGATGGGAGCGGACGGGATGGGAGCGGACGGGATGGGAGCGGACTGGATGGGAGCGGACGGGATGGGAGCGGACGGGATGGAAGCGGACGGTAAAAGAGCAATGGGTGTCGTGCTGCCTGCTCTGATCTGAGAGATGCCTCTCCTGGCAATGGCGTTGATAAGATAAAAAACCAGAAGAAAAAAAAAAACAGGAAGAAAAATAACTTTCATGTGTTCACATATCATAAACCACCTGCCACCCCCACGCCCTCCCCCTCCTCCACCCAACGCCTCCCCCCTTCTTTTTTCTTTCCCCCATACCCTTCAAGTCACCTTGGGATCCAATTTAGCTGTCGCTTCCTTGCTCTTACGCTCCCCCCTCCTGCTCTCCTCTCTCCTCTCCTCGCTGCTGCTGTTCCTGCCCCTCCTCCCACCTCTGCCCCTGCTCTCCCTGCTCCTGCTTCTCCTCCCCCTACCTCCACTGCTGCTCCTACTCCTGCCCCTCCTCTCCCTACTCTTGTCCCTCCTCTCCCTGCTCCTACTCCTGTCCCTCCTCTCCCTGCTCCTACTCCTGCTCCTCCTCTCCTTTCTTGTGCTCCTGCTCCTCCTCTCCCTGCTCTTATTCCTTCCTCTCTCCCTGCTCCTGCTTCTTCCCCTCCTCTCCCTGCTTCTGCTCCTGCTCCGCCTCTTCCTCACCCTCTCCCTGCTCCTGCTGCTGCTGCTGCTGCTGCTGCTGCTACTCCTGCTTCTCCCCCTCCTGCTCCTCTTCCTGCTCCTGCTTCTGCTTCTGCTCCTGCTGCTGCTCCGCCTTCTCCTAACCCTCTCTCTACTCCTGCTTCGTTCCTTCCGCCTCTCCCCCTCCTTCCGCCCCTCGCTCCTCCCCCCATTCCCTCCGCCCCCGCACGCCCCATCGCTTCCGCCCTTCCGCAGCTTATCGCGTACGCTCGCCACGCGCGCTTCCGCCAAACCCGCCTGTAGCTTCCGCTCGAACGACTCCGCAAATGTCTCCGCGATTGCCGCCGCGCCGCCTCCCGGTGACTTCTCGGTCGGCGGTTCCAGGTTTTCCCGCTCGAACGACGCCGCGCCGCCAGATGCGGCCACGAACGTCAACCCCGCACCGCCTCTGGCCCAAACCGCGCCGCCGTCGCCGCCGCCATCGCCGCTGGCGTCAGCGGCGGAGCTGGAGCCGAACCCGAGGCCTTGCTTGAATCGCGCCGCGTTGGACCCGCGGCGCACGAGATCCTGATAGTACGCCGCCGCCTTCTCCTCCTCCATAGCGCCGCCCCGCGCTGCCCCTCACTGCACCCGTATACCTCAGAAGCGACACCCTTGTGCGAAGGTGACGTTTAGAGGACTCAAAAGCCCCACCTCAGCAGCACCCTCCGCACCAGCACTACCATGCATAGCGGTAAAAAACAGTCCTGCTCCCAAATTTCGTTCGAAATTGCAGGAATGTTGGGAGAGGACGATCCAGCTTCATGCTTTGAGTGCACGGGTTTCACAAAAGAACTGAACTGCACTATTGAAGTTGGGGAGGTATGAAGACGACTGGTTGGAATACCAACGAGGCTTATATAGGAGATGTCGAGCTGGGCGAGGAGCTCGGGAGAAACGAGGCTCGGAAAGTTGGCGAAAGCTGCGGAGGCGATTCGGAAGTGGTTCGGGCCGATATTGTAGGCCGAACCAGCTGAAGCGAACAGATCGGAAAACAGTACTTGTCAAGGACTACTGTAAACACTATAGTTACTTACAAACTAATATATTTTGAAGGCTTCACGATTTGAAACCCTTGAACAAGGACAACGGGAACGAAACTACGGATTCGAGTTATCGCAGTCTGTAACGAGAAATCTAGCTGGAGCGCCTGGGTGTGAGGCAACCTCAGATGGAAATTGCTGCCCACCGCTCTTTTCCCCCCTGACGCGCTGTGATTCCGTTCTCGACGCCACTAGACGCCCCGCAACAATCAGCACGCTCGCATTGCCGCCATTCGAGCCTATCCGCCATTCATTCATCCGCTCCCCCTTGACGTGACCCCGCAGCCTCCCGTTCCCTTTACAACACCCGCCCACCTACCCACTCCGCCCTCTCGCCCTCTCCGCTTTTCCCCGCTGCACCCGCCATGTCCGCGGGCGGCGCGGAGGAGCCTCCGCCATGCGTGCTGCTGCGCAACTGCACCATCGTGCAGGCGGGCGGCGCGGGGATCGTTGCTGACGTGGATGTGCGCGCGGCGCAGCACGTGCTGGTGCAGGGCAAGCGAATCGCGTTCGTCGGCGACGCGCTGCCGTCCGACCTGCTCGCGTCGCTGACGGCGTCGCGGCCGCCAGTGGTGAGCCTCCTCGCCAGCTTTCTTGTCCCCCTTTGTGCCGCGCTTCCCTTGTGCCGCGCTTCTCTTTCCGTTGTGCCGCGCATCCTCAACCCGCCCCGCCCCACCGCTTATGCCGCGCCTCCCTCACTGCCGCGCCTGCGCCGCACGTGCGCCTGCCAGCGCTGCAGCCCCACCGGGTGCGCCTCACATGCCCTCTCGCTTCTTCTCCCGATGCACGCCTCCCCTCCTTCCGCTCCTTCCACCCATGCCCCATGCGCCCCTTTCCCCGTGGTTGCCAGGAGATCGACCTAGCGGGGCGCTATCTTCTCCCCGGGCTGTGCGACGCACACTTGTCCGTCACAGCAGCAGCCGCCCTCTCATTTTCGCCCATGCACCCTCCCCTCCCGTCTGAACCCCTATGCACCCTCTTCTCCCGTGCACCAACAGGAGATCGACCTAGCAGGGCGCTACCTCCTCCCGGGGCTGTGCGATGCGCACGTGCACGTCACAGCAGCGGCCTCTGCGGATCTGCACGCGCTGGCGGCGCTGCCCGTGTCGCTGGTGGCGTGCCGCGCCGCCAGGGGACTGCAGGCCATGCTCATGAGAGGCTTCACCACCGTGCGCGATGCTGGGGGGTGCGACCAGGGGCTGGCTCAGGTGAAAACAACAGAGACTCGGTGTATTTGCTCTCCTCTCTTTCTCTTCCCCCCACTTCCGCATTTTCTTGTGTTGCCTTCCTCTCTCACTGCTTTCCTCCCTAAATTTGTCTTCCTTTCTCTTCTCCCCTCGTGTCTGACCTCCCTCCCCTCCGCTTCATCCCCACCGTGCATCCATGCCTTGTTTCATCTCGTGCTCCCTCTCCCCTTCGATCCTCCACCCACCAGGCAGTGGAGGAGGGAACGGTGGAGGGACCACGCATCCTCATATCAGGCCACGCCCTCTCCCAGACAGGAGGCCACGGGGACATGCGCAAGCCCTCTCACGATACCCTCCCCGTCGCCGCCCCCTCCTCCTCTCTCTGCGCCTGCTCCTCCGCTGCCTCTGCTGTCGGCGGCCTGGGCATCGGCCGCGTCTGCGACGGCGAGGCTGAGGTTCGGCGGGCGGTTCGGGAGGAGCTTCGGCGGGGAGCGCGGCAGATCAAGGTGATGGCGTCGGGCGGCGTATCGTCACCGTCGGATCGCGTGGAGAGCGTGCAATTCTCGGAAGGGGAGATGCGGGCGGCGGTGGAGGAGGCGGAGGCGCAGGGGACTTACGTGATGGCGCATGCATATACGGCGCGTGCGATCAAAAGGGCAGTGGAGTATGGTGTTCGCAGCATTGAGCATGGCAATGTGAGTGTGGATAGGCGACAGCAGCGGTGGGGGATGCATACTGTCTATGCAAACCCCACGTCCTATGCTCTGCACATCCCTGCTGTGCATCCCTGCTGTGCATCCCTGCTGTGCATCCCTGCTGTGCATCCCTGCTGTGCATCCCTGCTGTGCATCCCTGCTGTGCATCCCTGCTGTGCATCCCTGCTGTGCATCCCTGCTGTGCATCCCTGCTGTGCATCCCTGCTGTGCATCCCTGCTGTGCATCCCTGCTGTGCATCCCTGCTGTGCATCCCTGCTGTGCATCCCTGCTGTGCATCCCTGCTGTGCATCCCTGCTGTGCATCCCTGCTGTGCATCCCTGCTGTGCATCCCTGCTGTGCATCCCTGCTGTGCATCCCTGCTGTGCATCCCTGCTGTGCATCCCTGCTGTGCATCCCTGCTGTGCATCCCTGCTGTGCATCCCTGCTGTGCATCCCTGCTGTGCATCCCTGCTGTGCATCCCTGCTGTGCATCCCTGCTGTGCATCCCTGCTGTGCATCCCTGCTGTGCATCCCTGCTGTGCATCCCTGCTGTGCATCCCTGCTGTGCATCCCTGCTGTGCATCCCTGCTGTGCATCCCTGCTGTGCATCCCTGCTGTGCATCCCTGCTGTGCATCCCTGCTGTGCATCCCTGCTGTGCATCCCTGCTGTGCATCCCTGCTGTGCATCCCTGCTGTGCATCCCTGCTGTGCATCCCTGCTGTGCATCCCTGCTGTGCATCCCTGCTGTGCATCCCTGCTGTGCATCCCTGCTGTGCATCCCTGCTGTGCATCCCTGCTGTGCATCCCTGCTGTGCATCCCTGCTGTGCATCCCTTCTGTGCATCCCTGCTGTGCATCCCTGCTGTGCATCCCTGCTGTGCATCCCTGCTGTGCATCCCTGCTGTGCATCCCTGCTGTGCATCCCTGCTGTGCATCCCTGCTGTGCATCCCTGCTGTGCATATGACGCGATGTTTGCAAATGAATCTTCCACGTGCTGCCCTTCTCACCCGCACATCCATGATCCGCATGCCAGGTCTCTCACCCGCACATCAACCTCCCTCACCCCCTTCATGCCCTCGCCTTCACGGCAGATGCTGGACGAGGAAGCAGCAGAACTCATGCTGCAGAGAGGAAGCTTCCTGGTGCCCACGCTGGTGACGTACGAGCGGATCAAGCAGGCGGGGCAGCAGAGCGGCATGGACGGCAGCATTGTTGCCAAGGTGCGCTGTTTGTATAAAGGCTACTCAGAAGTCACCAAGGTCAATGCAGGTCTTTGAACAGAATGCAGATCTACACACTGCTCTTCTCCCGCATGCTCATTGCTCGTGCCTCCCACCTCACCGCCTCTCGCCACCTTCGTTCCACTGAATCGTCTGTCTGAAGCAGGTGCAGGACCTGCTAGAGAGGGGGCTTGAAGCGGTGGCACTGGCAGAAAGAAAGGGTGTGCCGATAGTCTTTGGCTCGGACCTTCTAGGTCCCATGCAGTCCCACCAGCTGCAGGAGTTTGGCATCCGCAGCAAGGTGCAATCACCAGCGTCCATTCTTCGGTCTGCTACAACTGCCGCCGCACGGCTTTTTGGCATGGAAGGAGAAATCGGGGTGGTGGTGGTTGGTGCGCTTGCGGATTTGATTGTGCTGGATGGAAATCCATTGGAAGACATCAGCATATTGACTGATTCTAATAACCTTAAGCTGGTCATGAAGGACGGGGCCGTTGTGAAAAGGGATATTTATTAACGGAGCCTTCCAGTTTCAATTTATTTTTTCATGCATTTTCTGTAAAATTTGATCAGCTTATATGCCTCTCAGCGTTTCAGAATAACTACTTTGTTTCGTCTATTCAAAACAAAGTGTAAGGTTCTTTCCAAGTCTTTACTAGGTCATTCCGTACGCGTACAAGCCCAACTTTCGGAAGACCAGGCTCGGACCGACGACCTCGCTGTCAAATGTTGCACATTCTTATGATAGGCTGTAGTGAGTAGCACTGTAGAGAGTACAACAATTTCTAGGTTTGCTATTTGTATCACTCACTTTCCTAGTTCATTCATTCCGTTGCATTAGATTTCTGAGATGGTATCGCCCTTCTGAAATCCCGTCGACACCACCGTCGACCTTGATCACCCCTCTCTGCTTCGTGCCTTCACTGCCGCTGACTCGTGCACCACCGTCGACCTCGTCGTCGACGCCACCTTCGTTGCGCACCGGTCGAGGAGATACAGGACGGGAAGGGTGTTCCGTCGCCCACTGCGACCTGATGCCCAACTCGGCGATCACCAAGGGGATCGTCCCGTACTCGCCATCCACGTGGCGTCTCCTCGCGTCAGCCAAACGTGCCTCCAAGGTGTCCGCTACACCCGCATCAACTACGGGGTCGACCATGGCGACTAACGCTGCTGCCGGCCTACGAACGACTTAGTAGGTGCAAAAGTCGGCTCCTATCTGAAGGTAATCTGCGGGGCCGTCCACGCTCACCGCACCATGCGGAGAGTCACTCTACAACGGTAGTGAGCTAGACTACGGGGGTTGGCACGAACTACTAGGAGTGATCGTAGCTTTGCCTAGTTCCTTAGTGCTTGCACAATCACGGGAGGAATCGGCAAGAGTTTCCACTAGCAAAGTCGAAATTACATAAATGGTTGTACAAGCAATGACAGAATTGACTACATCAGGCACCTAGCAACCCTGCAGCTAGCCTGGTCGACCGCCAGCACAGCTTGGTCGACCGCCTGCCAGCGTTGCGTAGAGGAGCCGCGCCAACACTGCAGAAGGGCGAACTGCAAACACTGCAGGTCGACGGCGTGCCAATGCTGCAGCAAAGCGGCTGTCCAGCGTTGCTCCGTAGAAGACAGCAGTGCGCAAGCTCGCAGGTGTGTGCAGACGATTGGCCCGACTTGCACCGTTGTGCATCCGTCGGCTGTTGTCTGCGCCTGACGAGCCACATCGACTTCGGGATACCAGCCCGGAGTCGCCTTCGCCATCGCGACCTCGACGACGTTCGCGTGCCTCCGCAAAACTCGTCTAGTAGGTTACCTGGTCGACCTGGTCGACCACCAAGTGCTCCGGTCGACCACCAGTGCCTCTGGTCGACCACTGGGTCCCTCTGGTCGACCACCAGGTCCCTCTGGTCGACCACAGCTCCCGTCGAGCTACCCCCTGGTCGACGGACCCCTTCCGTCGACCCGAACTGTCAGCGGTTGTCGCCGAGCTCCCCTCGTTGACCGCTGCTCACTTATCAGGTCGACGGACTGCTCCGTCGACCTCCCGGTCGAACTGCAGGTCGACAGGCTGCTCCATCGACCTCCCGGTCGAGCTGCAGGTCGACGGGCTGCTCGGTCGACCTCCCGGTCGAACTGCCCCTCCTGGTCGACGGCCCACCCGTCGCCCAGACCAGTCAGTTGCAGGTGTCGAGCTCCCTGGTCGACAGCAACACCACAGCGGTCCCCTGCAGCTCGACGAAGCCTGTCGAGAAGTTCTCCCACTGTGAACGGCCGGCTGCTACTCCCGTACATCCGACCAAGTCGTCGGCGTTGCCCAAGCGAGGGCGGGGCCAACACTCCATTCCCGTTAATAGCGCGTAGCTCCACCACCCTCCCATGACCTGTGGTCCCCTCTGGTGTCCTACGCGGCCTCCATATCCCCTCGTTCACTCGAAACTTGGTGGGTGTTGGATACCTCCAGGACAGGGGGATCACCGTTACCTTTGTGGGGGGTGGGAGGACTGCGGTCTGTACAGACGCTGCCACAGGTGCTGTTCTGGCCACGTTCACCAGGGAGCCCCGCTCCGGTCTCAACGTTCTCCACACCGAGCGCTCCTCGGTTGCTTCCTCCGCTCAGGTCACTGCGTCCCCTCCGGTCCTAGTGTCTAGTCCGGTTACTGTGTCTAGTCAGGTAGTGGTGTCTAGTCAGGTTGCTGCGTCTTGCTTCTGTCGGTCCCTAGCCCACCCGACCGTCTTGTGGCACCACCGCCTTGGCCACCCGTCGATCCTCCGCCTCCGCAGCATGGTCAGTCACAGTCTTGTCTCAGGTCTCCCGCGCGTCTTTTCGTCGCTCCCTCCCTCACTTGCTCCACCTTGCACTCCTTGCGTCGCCAGCCGCCTGCGCGCCACTCCGCACTCCTCCTCCCTTCGTCCAGCCACTGCTCCCTTCCAGACTCTCCACTTGGACGTCTGGGGCCCTGCCCCTACGTAGGGACCTGGGAGGGAGCGCTACTTTCTGGTGGTCGTCGACGACTACTCCAGGTACACCACGGTGTTTCCTCTTGCAAAGAAGTCCGAGGTGACTTCTACGCTGATCCGGTGGCTTCTGGCCACTGAGGGCACTCGTGGTAGTTGTGTCCGTTGTCTCCATTCCGACCGTGGGGGTGAGTTTCGCTCCGGCATCCTTGCCGGGTTCTGCGGCGAGCAGGGCATCAGACAGTCCTGGACGCTGCCGGAGTCCCCACAATAGAATGGGGTTGCTGAGCGCCACATTGGCTTGGTCATGGACATCGCCCGCACGTCCATGATCCATGCACGTGCGCCCCATTTTCTGTGGCCCTACGCGGTTCGCTACGCCGCCCACCAGCTGAACCTCCAGCCGCGTGTCTAGCGGCCAGAGGCTTCACCGACCCGTCTTTGGACCGGGTCCCCTGGTGTTGGGTCGGCCTTTCGTGTCTGGGGCTGCCTTGCGCTTGTCCGCGACACCTCTGCGGACAAGCTCTCGGCTCGCGCCATCCCCTGTGTCTTCCTTGGTTTCCCGGTAGACTCTCCCGACTACGCCTTTTACCACCCGCTCCTCCACCAGTTCCTCGACTCTCGTGACGTTTGGTTTGACGAGTCAGTGCCCTACTACACCCGGTACCCCTGTCGAGGTCTCCCGGTTCCCCCTCCTCCCCTTTTCCTCGCACCCTCTCCTCCTCCTGCTCCCGCTCCTCCGGTACCCCTGCCTCCCCCTGGTCCTGCCCCGTCAGGTAGCGTCTCCCTCCCCGCAGTCCTCCTCACAGTCCCCTCAGCAGCCTTCGGCACTTCCGCGACAGGTTACTGTGGACTCAGGTGGTGTTGGAGCTGGAGGTGCTGCCACTGGAGGTACTCGGTCTGGGGGCGCTCGTTCGAGAGGTGCTGGAGCTGGAGGAGCTGGCGCTAGTGGCGCTAGTTCTCGGGGTGCTGGAGCTGGAGGTGCTGGCGCTGGTGGTGCTAGTTCTGGGGGTGCTGGAGCTGGAGGTGCTGGCACTGGAGGTGCTAGTTCTGGGGGTGCTGGAGAAGGAGGTACTGGCGCTGGAGAAGGAGGTACTGGCGCTGTAGAAGCTAGTACTAAGGAGACAGGAGCTGGAGGCACGACTACTGCGGCGCCCACTGCGCCTCCCCACCGCTACGACGCACGTCTCCAGGCTCTTCGCCGGCTTGAGCGCGAGGAGCAGGAGCGGTTGGAGCAGGAGAGGTAGGAGCTGCTGCAGTTGGACCAGCAGCAGCAGCAGCAGCAGCCGCCGCAGCAGCAGCAGCAGCCGCCACTTTTGCAGCAGCTGTTCCCTCCAGTGAGTGGCCTTCGGGCCCTTGGTCTTCCTTCCTCTCCTCCTGTCCACTCACAGAATCCTACCTCGTACGGTCCTACGTTTCCTCCTCCGGGCTCGGCTCCGGCTGTTTTCTCTCCTCCTCAGTCACAGTCGTCTCCTCCTGTTGTCCCGCACGACTGGACCAGTCGTTGTCCTCCGCGTGCTCGTCCCTCGTCTCCTTTTGCCGACCTCAGCACTGTCTTGTTTCGTTCTAGTCCTCGTCGTTCTCCGCCTGTGTCTGTTCTCCCCTCACCTCCTAAGTCGTCTCTCACCGTCTCCTCTCACCATATCACTGACTACTACCGTGCTGCTCGCCCTGTTGTCTCCCGTGTTCTCGCCACTCTTGTCACCGACCCTCGTGCCTCTCCGTCGTCTGTCTCGGCTCTTTCTGCCGCTGTCGCTGACTTTGCTTCCACCCGCCGTCTTGACTACGCCACGCGTGTGGTGGCTGCTCCACCTCCCCGTCCTCTCTCCGTTGGGGGTGAGTCTGCCCTTGGCTGTGACGTCCTAGAGGACAGGCTGTTTGAGCTGGAGTTCTTGGCAGCCGCTTCCCCCTTTCTCTGCGCCATGCTGCTTTCCCCTGAGGGAGACCCTGATGCCCTTGACATACCGACTCCTCGCACGTACCGTGAGGCAGTGTCAGGGGAGTGGGCCTCTCAGTGGAGATCCACAGGCACCTACGTGGACGCAGTTCCCTCTCCTAGGGCGAACTTTGTCGATGGCATGTGGCTCTTCAAGGTGAAGCGGCCGCCTGGATCACCGCCTGTGTTCAAGGCGCGCTACGTGGCTAGGGGTTTTAGTCAGCGTGAGGGAGTTGACTTCTTCCAGACCTTCGCCCCGAACCCGAAGATGACTACTCTTCGGGTGTTACTGCACGTAGCAGCACAGCGAGACTACGAGCTGCACTCCCTCGACTTCTTCACTGCGTTTCTCCAGGGCCGCCTACACGAGAAGATCTGGCTGCGGCGTCCTCCTGGCTTCACTCACACCTTCCCACCTGGGACCCAGTGGATCCTGAGGCGACCAGTCTACGGTCTCCGCCAGTCGCCCCGTGAGTGGCACGACACTCTTCGCTCCACGCTTCGTGACCTTGGGTTTCGACCTTCCTCTGCCGACCCGTCGCTGTTTGTTCGCGCTGGTTCCACTCCTTTCTTTATACTTGTTTACGTCGACGACTTGGTCTACGCTACCTTGGCCTGCAGATCACCAG